GAGGGAGGAATAGCAGAGGGAGTAAGAACAGAGTGAGTAAGAACAGAGGGAGGAAGAACAGAGGCAGGAAGAACAGAGGGAGGAAGAACAGGGGGAGGAAGAACAGGGGGGGTAAGAACAGGGGGAGTAAGAACAGAGGGAGTAAGAACAGGGGGAGTAATAACAGAGGGAGTAAGAACTGGGGGAGTAAGAACAGAGGGAGTAAGAACAGAGGGAGTAAGAACAGAGGGAGGAAGAACAGAAGGAGGAATAGCAGAGGGAGTAAGAACAGAGTGAGTAAGAACAGAGGGAGGAAGAACAGAGGGAGGAAGAACAGAGGCAGGAAGAACAGAGGGAGGAAGAACAGGGGGAGTAAGAAGGGAGGGAGTAAGAACGGAGGGAGGAAGAACAGAGGGAGGAATAACAGAGGGAGGAAGAACAGAGGGAGGAACAACAGAGGGAGGAAGAACAGAGGGAGTAAGAAAAGAGGAGTAAGAATAGAGGGAGGATGAACAGAGGGAGAAAAAACAGTGGGAGTAAGAACAAAGGAATGTGTCGCCCTGAAATGTGAGTGGAGAGGATGGGGGAAGGGAATACAAAGGGGGGTGGAGAAAGAATAGAGAAAAGAGGACAGGGGGGAGATGATCACAAAGGGTAGAGCATAGGGAGGAAGAACATAGAGGGGCAATGGATGTTGGAAGAAGGGAGCGGGCAGGTCTGAGGGGGGAATTAAGAGGGAGGAAGAACAGAGGGGGGGGGAAGAATAGAGGGGCGAAGAATGGATGGGGATCACAGAAGGGGGTAGAACGGGTGCATGATGGAGGGGAGACGAACTGAGGGGGGGAGAACAGAGGGGGGAAGGACAGATGGGGAGAACGGGGGAGGGAAGACTTGTGGGAAACGGAGGGAGGAAAAACGGAGGAGGAAATACAAAGGCAGGAAGAACAGATGCAGATGGAAGAACAGATGGGGTAAGAAAGGGAGGGGGAAGGCATAGGGAGGAAGAACCCATGGAGAAAACACGGCAAGAATGGCAGGGGAAAGAAGGAAGGAGAGAACGACGGGAGAAGAATGGATGGAGGAAGAAAGGAGAGCGGAAGTCAAAGCGGGAAAGCAGAGGAAGGAAAGAACGGAGGGGGGAAGACAGAGGAAGGAAAAACGATGGGGTGAAATGGAGGGATTTGAAAGGAGGGGGGAAGAAGGGAGGGGAAGAACAGAGGGGAACAAAAAGGGAAAGACGTATTGGTTGGATCGGTTGGGGGGTGAATCGGTTGATCGCCCTGTGCTGGTTGAAGGAAGAATTGGCGACAACCGAATCAAAACATTTATTACTGGTGGGGCAAGCCACTGTTTGATGGATGTGACAAAAGCGAAGAAATTCCGATTTCAGCTGGAACACTGCATGCTCGAAATCGACGCGAGGCTGGTTGACGACACCCCACTGGCGATTCGGGGGCGCATGCTTTACGTGTGAGTCACCTGTGGCAAAAAAATCAGTTTCACGACGAAGATGCTGGCGACAACTTTGGACGGGTGCGACATGCTGCTGGGACGCGATTGGCTGCGAGAATACAACCCGAGCATCGACTGGTGGACGGGCGATTGTCGCATCAAGTGGAGTGGTGAGTGGCGACGACTACCCAAGTGGAGCAGTCAAGACTCAACCACATCGACGGTCAGCACAGTGACTATCAAGCGAGCGATGATCCAAGGAGCGCAACTGTATGCCGTCCGATGGATCGCATCAAAGGCTGTCGACACGCTGGCCGATATCGACAACTTTGCACAGCTGTACCGGATGATTTGGCAACAGTGATTCGGAAGCACGCCGACATTTTTCCAGACGACCTCAGTGGCCGCATGACTACAAAATCGAGCTCGAGCCCGGCGCACAGCCTACTGTTAGGACCCAATGGCGGCTGACTCAGCCCAAGTTAGATGAACTTCGACGCCAGTTGGACTACCTGTTCGAGAAAGTTTTTGTCCACCCCAGCACATCACCATTTGCAGCCCCGATCCTGTTCACACCGAAGAAAGATGGCGGTCTGCATATGTGTATCGACTACCGCGCCTTGAATCGGGTTACCATCAAGTCTCGCTACCCCATTCCACGAGCCGACGACCTCATCGACCAACTTCGCGAAGCCAATTGTTTCTCGAAGATTGACCTGCGTGGCGGTTACCACCAACTTTGCGTGCAAGAAGCCGACTACTACAAGACGGCGTTTCAGACCCGGTACGGGAGTTACGAGTGCACGGTCATGCCCTTCGGCTTAACAAACACGCCTTCGACATTCTAGTTGACCATGAACGAGATTTTTCGGCCACTTCTGAATAAGTGCGCCATCATGTACCTCGATGGCATTCTCGTCTACAGCACAACCCGGGAGCAGCATTTAAAGGATTTGGAAGCCATATTCTCTCTCCTGCAGCAGAACCGACTCATCACCAAGGGCTCTAAGTGCGAGTTTTTAAAACACGAACTTGAGTTTTTGGATCACGTGATTTCCATCGACGATGTTAAAATCGACCCCAAAAATTTGTGACAATCCAAGACAGGAAGCCGCCGGCTAATCTTCGTGAATTTCGGAGTTTTCAGGGGGTTGTTAATTATGTCCGCCGTTTCATTCCGAACATGGCGGGGGTAACTTCCCCTCTAACGGATCTCCTGAAGAAGGGCATGTTTTTTTAGAGGGGGGGAGAGCAGCAAGCTGCGTTCGAAAAGCTCAAACTTTTCCTGACAACCCCTCCGGTTCTTCGGATTGCACATCCTCACCATCCGTTTGAACTCATCACCGACGCTAGCGATCTGGCCGTGGGCGCATTACTGTTACAAGACTTCGGCGAAGCCTCCAACCCATTGCCTACGAGCCACGAAAGCTGAACCCGGCCGAGCAAAACTATCCTGTCCATGACAAGGAGTTACTCGCCATCGTTCACGCTTTCAAAGTCTGGCGCAGACCTGACGGGTACTGACGTAACAGTGTGAATAGACCACAAGTTGCTGCAGTTCATTCGCGCCCAACTGATACTAAATCCCTGACAGATTCGCTGGCTCGACTACCTCGAGTCCAATTTCCATTACAGAGTCACCTACAAACGAGGGGTCAGCAACATCGCCAACGCACTGACCCGCCCCTTGGCCCACACCGCCGCAATCCTAATTACCCAAGCTAATCCGCTGCTAATTGGCCTATTCACCCACGAATACAGTACTGACCCATTCTTCACCACTAACAGTCATCCCCAAGTGACGCTCAAGCAAGGAGCCTATTATCTAAAGTCCGGTACCAATTTGATTTGGGTTCCCGCCTACTGTACCCTACGGGAATTACTGATCTAGGAGGCACATGACTCGAATTTCTCGGGTCACTACCGCATCGACAAAAACGCAAAATTACTGAGTCGTAATTATTACAGGCCTGACCTACCGACAGACGTGCAACAGTACGCCACCTCCTGCACCACGAGTCAACGCATGAAGTCTTCCCGAATTCAACATCCTGGATTGCTGCAGCCACTCGAGCCACCCAGCCGACCCTGGTAACAAGTGACGATGGACTTCGTCACTGGCCTGCCAGCTAGTTCAAGCGGTAACGACGCGATCCTCGTCGTCGTCGACCGGTTGACCAAAATGGCCCATTTTGTCGCCTGCAAGACGACAATTATTGCCGAGCAGAGAGTGAAGCTGTTCCTCACGGACATCGTGCGACTACACGGCATCCCATCGGCAATCATCAGCGATCGTGACCCACGGTTCACGTCCAAATTCTGGACAAAAACCTGGCAGCAGTACGGCACACACCTGCATATGTCCACGGCGTACCACCCGCAATCGGACGGCCAGACCAAGCGCACCAATTAGACGATGGAGCAGCTGATTTGCACGACATGCACAGACCCTGCCCAATGGGAAGACGCCCTCCCCTTGATCGAGTTTGTGTACAACAATGCCCCATCGGCCACGACTACTCAGTCCCTGTTCTTCATTAATTACGGGATAGATCCGACAACCCCTCTATCACCACCGATAGAAAATCCGGCACCAAGGTCTCAGGAGTTCGTAAAAAATCTCCGGCAGTCTCTGCAAAAAGCCGCCGATGCCATCCTAAAAGCCAAACAGAGGGCTAAGCAGCAAGTTGACCGACGACGCCGAGACTTAACACTTGTCCCTGGGCAATTGGTCCTGCTCGACACCAGGAATTTGGGAATCCCCTCCCAAATAAATTACGACCAAGATTTTGCGGCCCCTTCCGCATCATTCGCATGGTGACACCAGTTACCGCTCAGGTGCAATTGCCGACCGACGGGCGAATTCATGATTCGTTCCACGGCAGTCTCCTGTGACCGTTCGTCCTGAATGCGACCAATGTCGACCGTCAACACATTAATCATACGGTCAACCCAGTACCCGAGCCAACGATCGAGCTGTCCAAGATTCTCGCTCATCGCGTACAGGGACATCGAGACACAGCAGCCGTCGATTTCCTTGTACGCTGGGTCGATCGCACAAGTGACGACGACCTCTGGGTTTCCGCAGCCACGCTTGGTGATAACAAAGTTGTCTGGGACTATTTACACCGACGACGTGTCCCGGATGTGGGTAGTCTCATCCCGGAAGGGGGGGTGGTGTAAGGAAATTCCATTTTCATTACTGGGCTCAACTACAGCACGTGCGCCCTCGACTCTCGGAAGTCCAGGCTCGGCCAACTTCTTCGGTCCCGAATCACTTTGCGAACCCAAACCTAGACGCACGACGCTTCCGTAGCTTTCGCCAACCGGACCGCCCCAACCTGTTCGCGTGGTTCTCGGCTAGCTCTGTTCGTGCCTATAAATGTCTAGGCCCTCATTTGTATCGACACTCTTGAATCACGTTATTACACTACCTGTTATTACTCTGATTGATTCAAAACAGAATGTGTAAATGTAACGGTTACTTCAAACTTGCACTTCGACAAAGTCGCCAGACACCCCCCTTTCTCCACCTCCCACGCAACACACGACTGAGTAATAATCTTCGGGCATTTTAGGTCTTCCACGGCCATGACATCTTCGGCGTTACGGTATTAGGTATTTTTAGGCTGCTGTTTCCGTCGCAGTTGTCGCAAGGCAGGTCCCGAATCACTGCTTCACCACTCCAAACTCATCTCAGCGAGGCGCTAAAATATCGAATTCGAGCATTCCATTGCGAACTCCAGTCTCTCCGCCCTTCACCCGACAACCCGTTGACCCCTTAACCTCCCCGCGTACCCGTTTACCGCTAACCTCGCCGCGATGGACGCGACGGAGGACGAGATTGCGCGCATGCAAGAGGAGCGGCGCGCGAAGGAGGCGGAGCTGGCGGCGCTGGCATCGGTGAGCTTCGACAAGGACCTGTACGGCGGGGGCGACAAGGACCGCTTCGAGGGCTACGAGATGTCCATCCCGGTCATGGAGGACGAGGACGAGCAGGACGCCACGGAGCGCGAGGTCGCCAGGTGCGAATGATGAATAACCACTTGTTTGTAGTACTTTTGAGTTGCTTACAGTGGATTCTCTCGCTTGTTCTGCGTTTCCTCTCTTCGTGTTTCATTGCTCCCGGTTTGTTCTGCTCATCCGCGTCCTGACTCTATGTGCGTCGGTATCGCTTCTCCACCGCCACCTCCAATTGCGGATCGTAAACTCGTTCTCATCTCCCGAGTGGTTCTATTTCGCAAGAGCGCGCACGCTATGCCCCATGGCTCTTTTCTTGACGCCTGTTTTCATGTCGCCAATTCATGCGCTCGGATCGCCTGGGATGAGGTCAAGGTGGTACTCGTTCAGCCGCTATACAACGTCACGCGACTGCCACTGCAGTGGATCGTGAGCGGACTTACGGTCTGCTCGTCTTGTGCATCCTGGTCTCCCTCGGTGCGTCCTTCCACCTGCATTCGCTTCCGCGACTTGCCCTCCCCCACCCCCCTCTCTCCACCAGGAAGCTGGCTTCATACACGGCGCCCAAGGAGCTCTTGCACGAGCTGCCCAGGGGCGAGGCGGAGGAAGAGGTGAGGGGGGGGGCGGGGACAGGGAAACGGGAGGAAGGGAGGTGAGAGGGGGAATGCGTGGTGAGGGACGGGGGGACGAGGGGAGGGGGGGGATGGGGAAGGGGGAAGGTGAGAGAGTGAGCGAGCGACAGAGAGGAGGGTAATGAGATGCGAGGCGAGAAGGGTGAGACTTTGGCGGAAGGATGAGAGGGGAGGGGAAATGAGGAAGGGGGTTCAGGTGGGGGGGGAGAGGGGGGGAAGAGGTTGGAAGGGATTAGAGGGAGCGCGAGGAGGAGATATGTGAGGGAATGGATGCGGAGGTGAGGGGGTGACAGGGCAGGATGTAGATGAGGCTGTCAGTTGAGCTGACAGTCACGGATGGCATTGCTCTCGATGAATCCTCCAACTTGTGTGCTTTCTGGTCCGGCTCTCCCCTTTCTCGACCTGTTTGAGTTCTATTTGAGTCAACCTCAGTAAGTAGTCACACACGCCCATCATTCTCCTTGTTGCTCGTTCTCCACTGTCTCTCCCCATCTCCCACCATTCACCAGAGGAAGAAATACCGATCTACCGCTGCCCCTTGTTCACGTCCAATCCAACCCTCTCTCCCCATCTTCCCACTCTCTCTGCCCACCTTCTCTCCCAGTCCCCCTACCATCTGTTTGAGCCCTCCCCCCGTCTTTCTGCCAGACTGCTGAAACCAAGAAGCCCTCACGCCTCATCCACAGGGAGGACGACACCTGCGGCCTGTAGTTCACCGTTGCACCGTCTATCCGACTGTCTCACATGCCTCTCGGTCCCCATCTTCCCCACTCCCACCCTCTCCCCCCATCTCTCCCCACCCTCTCCCCCATCTCTTCCCACCCTCTCCCCCATCTCTCCCCACCCTCTCCCCCCATCTCTCCCCACCCTCTCCCCCCATCTCTCCCCACCCTCTCCCCCCATCTCTCCCCACCCTCTCCCCCATCTCTCCCACCCTCTCCCCCCATCTCTCCCCACCCTCTCCCCCCATCTCTCCCCACCATCTCCCCCCATCTCTCCCCACCCTCTCCCCCCATCTCTCCCCACCCTCTCCCCCCATCTCTTCCCACCCTCTCCCCCCATCTCTCCCCACCCTCTCCCCCCATCTCTCCCCACCCTCTCCCCCATCTCTCTCCACCCTCTCCCCCCATCTCTCCCCACCCTCTCCCCCATCTCTCCCCACCCTCTCCCCCCATCTCTCCCCACCCTCTCCCCCATCTCTCCCCACCCTCTCCCCCCATCTCTCCCCACCCTCTCCCCCCATCTCTCCCCCACCATCTCCCCCCATCTCTCCCCACCCTCTCCCCCCATCTCTCCCCACCCTCTCCCCCCATCTCTCCCACCCTCTCCCCCATCTCTCCCCACCCTCTCCCCCATCTCTCCCCACCCTCTCCCCCCATCTCTCTCCACCCTCTCCCCCCATCTCTCCCCACCCTCTCCCCCCATCTCTCCCCACCCTCTCCCCCCATCTCTCCCCACCCTCTCCCCCCATCTCTCTCCACCCACTCTCACCACCCTTTCCCCCCACCTCTCTGGCAGACGGCGGGGTTCAAGAAGCCGTCGCGCATCATATCCTCGTGTTTATGTCCGCATCGCATCCTCTATTCTTTCTCCCCCTGGCCTTGCTCTCCCCATCCCCCTCACCCATGTCTTACCCGTCCGCACCAGGCGGCGGGGTTCAAGAAGCCGTCGCGCATCATCGACAGGGAGGACGATTACCGCCGGCGCCGGCTCAACCGGATCATATCGCCGGACCGACACGATGCCTTTGCTATGGTACGCAGTTGCCGTGCTATGGGCAGAATGCTGGTTGTCTGTTGGCGCATCCTGCAAGTCAGGCAGCCAGATTCGTGTTTCCTTTCTTGCTTCCAGCTGTGACGTTTCGCAGAGTGCCGCATTTGTCCCGGCCCGGATAGTTTCGCGGGTTGATGGAGCACCACACCACATGTTGCCTCTGCTTGCTTTCGGTCTCTGTATCTGTGCACTTGACTGTGCCTGCCTGTGCATGTGGGTGCCTGTGTCACATGTGTTCGGTCGGACTGTGCATGATTGCATGCGTGGGCATCTGCATGTATGTCTGCGTAAACGCTCGTACGTCAGTGCGCATGCGTGTGTATGTCCCCCCTCCCTAGGCATGAGCATGGACCGAGTCGAGTCGAGTCACGGCCGAGTCAGACCCGAGTCAAGCCAAAATCAAGTCGAGTCACAACCGAGTCAGACCCGAGTCGGAGGCTGAGGGTTGAGACCCGTGACTCGGGTTTTGGGGGCCGAGTCACCCTTGACTCGACCGAGTCAGAGGTTAACAGGGTCGAGTCGAGTCAAAGCTCGACTCGTTTTGGGGGGTGGGGGGAGAGGGGGGGGTGGGGGCTGCAGCCATATGCGTTCCAGGTCGACATGATAGGCCCCAACAATCTTGTGGCGGATCTGTGAGAAACGCGCACCAAGCAGCAGGAAGAAACGAGCTAGGTGCCTAGTTTTAGTTCCTGCTGCTGGCGTGCTGCTGCTGTATTACGAGTAGATTCAGATCCACCTAGGCTGAGCAGATTCGTCCACGAATTCTTTTGAAGTCCCCGATTCCCTCAATCACCTTTGCCCCAACTCCCCCAACCAGTGGACAATTCGTCGACAAAATGTTTGCATGTCCCCCGCTCCCCCCCTCCCTTCCCCCTCCCCCCCCCCCAAACCCCAATCCATCGTCGAATGTCGGGCGAGTTTCCGCGCGAGTCAAATTCCGACTCGACCGAGTCGGAATTTGACTCGACTCGGCCGAAAATGTTGGACGAGTCGAGCTTTGACTCGTGACTCGACCGACTCGACTCGACTCGACTCGGTTCGAGTCGGAAGAGCCAAAAGGCAAGCCGAGTTGACGAGTCGAGTCAGAAACTGGACTCGGTTGCTCACCCCTACCCCTCCCCCCCCCATCAGGGAGACACCATCCCAGATGCAGTGGTGTGGTGTGCATGTACGAGGACGTGATCAAGGCGGAGGCTCTGCAGCACACAGATGTCATCCGCCGATGCATGAGTGCATGTGTCTGTCCCGCTGCCCTCGGCCCCCCCAACCCCCCCTCCATCAGGGCGACGCCACGCCCGATGCGGCAGTGCGCACGTACGCGGACGTGATAAAGGAGGAGGCGCTGAAGCGCGAGAAGGAGGAGACGCTACGGCAGATCGCCAAGAAGAAGGCGGAGGAGGCCGAGAGGCAGGCGGCAGAGCTCTCATCCGCGCCCACCAAGGCGCAGGGCGTGCCTGCTGCCACTGCTGCTGCTCCCCCTGCTGCTGCTGCAGTGGCAGCTGCTGCGCCTGCCGGTGGCAAGAGGAGGAATCGGTGGGATGTTGCAGGAGGGGGAGGGGCCGGTGCTGTTGAGGCGGAGGCCAAGTGAGTTCGGGGGGAGAGGGGGTGGTTGGGGTTGGGGGTGAGAGGACCAGCGGATATGTGTGGCTCGTTTTTGGGCTGCCGTTGCTGCTTAGTCTCTGCGTATGCCTTTGGCGTTGTCATTCATATTGTTCTGCTTCTTTTCTGTCTCTTATTGCTGCTGCTGTGTGCAGGAAGGCCAAGGCGGCGGATTGGGATGCTCCTGATGCCACTCCTGGTGCTGCCAGGTGAGATGCTGCCGCTGGTGCTGCCAGGTGGTTCTTGTACTTTGCTGCTCAGTTTCCTCTGTACACAACTCTGCTGGCATTTTCTACCACAGCTGGCATCATCCAGAGTGTTAACATGCCGTTACATCCTTGATTTGAGGTGCCCCATTTCATCTTGCCTTTTCTCTACTTCAATTCCTTCTCCTCCCCGCCTAACCCCTTTCTGCAGTCGCTGGGACGCCCCTACTCCCGGTCGTGGCAGTGCAGTTGACGCCACCCCCACGCCCGGCCCCCGCCGCAACCGCTGGGACGAAACCCCCTCACACGGGGGAGTCCTGCCGGACGATGCCACCCCATCCGCGCTTCCGGGTGGCGGCGACGCCACCCCGGGTCTGGGTGGCGGAGCCACGCCAGCCGGCATGACTTGGGACGCCACGCCAAAGCTGTCTGCCGGCGCCACTCCCACCCCGAAAAAAACGCGGTCCAGATGGGACGAAACACCGGCCGGGGGAGGTGTTACGCCGGCGGGGGCAGGGGGAGGTGCCACCCCGTCTGCTGCTGTGGGCATGACGCCCTCTGGGATGACCCCAGGGGGGGTGACACCTGGGGGCGCCACACCTGGGGGGTTTGGAGTGACACCAGTAGGAGCAATGGACATGGCTACTCCAACCCCAGGGCAGATTGCACTAAGGGGCCCGCTCACCCCGGAGCAATTCACCATGCTGCGGTGGGAGCGGGAGATAGAGGAGCGGAACAAGCCGCTGTCGGACGAGGAGCTGGACGCCATGTTCCCCCTGGACGGCTACAAGGTGCTCGAACCCCCTGCAGCATACGTCCCCATCCGCACCCCCGCTAGGAAGCTCCTGGCGACGCCCACCCCTATGGGGGGCGCCGGAGGGGGTGCGACGCCACTGTATGCTATCCCAGAGGAGGATCGGCAGCAGCTGTTCGACGTGGGCAAGGAGGTGCCAGGGCTGCCGAACCTGAAGCCCGAGGACTACCAGTACTTCGGCGCGCTGCTGAACGAGGAGGAGGAGGAGAAGATGAGCGCGCAGGAGAAGACCGAGCGCAAGATCATGAAGCTGCTGCTCAAGGTGCGGGGGGGGGAAGAGGAGGGGAGGTAGCGATGGGGAGGGAGGAGCTAAGGTAGGCTAAGTGAGAACGGGGAGGGAAGGTAGGTTGGGGTGGGGATGAGAAGGAGAAGGCAAGAGCACAGGAGAAGACTGAGAGGAAAATCTCCAGCTGAATGTAGTATAGGGGGAGGGTGGGGAGGGTGGGGAGGGTGAAAGATGGTGAAGTGGGTGAAAGATGGTGAAGTGGGTGAAGTGGGTGAAGTGGGTGAAGTGGGTGAAGTGGGTGAAGTGGGTGGTGCACACTGGAGGGGAGGTACGAGGCGGTGGGGAGAGAAAGGATTGGAAGAGTTGAGGAGAGAGGGGGGAGGGAATTGAAGAGGTAAGGAGGGGAGGAGGAGGCATAAGCAAAGGGAACAAGTTGGTCTTGTTGTGGCAGCACCCTTGCTGCTCAAGCCTCTATTCATTGTAAATCTATTCACTCTCCCCCGTTCCCCTGGCTCTTCTCAGGGTCCAGTCCTAGCCGCTAGCCGGCTCATTTCCACAAATCATACCTCTTCAATCAACCCCCCCTTTTTTCCTACCTCACTCGATTTACCCCTCGACCCCTCTGCACCACGCCAACAGGTGAAGTATGGCACCTCTCCACAGCGCAAGACGGCCCCATGGCAGCAGCTGACAGACAAGGCGAGGTAGTTTGGCGCTACCATGTCCAACCCCCCCATATCTTTCCTCTGAACCCCTCTGCACCTCATTGCACTTCTGTGATGAGCAGGTGAAGAATGGCACGCCCCCCAGCGCAAGACGGCCCTGCGGCAGCTGACGGACAAGGCGAGGGAGTTTGGCGCGTCGGCTCTTTTCAACCAGATCCTGCCGCTGCTCATGTCGCCCACGCTGGAGGACCAGGAGCGCCACCTGCTCGTCAAGGTGGGCCACCGCTGCTCTGCTGGTCAAGGTGGGCCACCGCTGCTCCGGTCAATGCCACTCTTTTGCGGCAGTCAATGGTCTGCCACTCTGCTCAGTCATGCCGGCCGCGGTGAAATGTATACAATGGAAGGGCGCTCCCTGCTGCAAGGACGTTGCTTCACACACACGTCCTCACCCACCTGCTTGCTATATCCGCTTGTAACCTCTCCCGTCCCACCTCCCCTGTCCCGTCCTACTTCCTGTGTCCATTGACGTCACCACCACTCGTTCTTGCATCACCTGGTGTCCAACCAGCCGCTCTGGGTGCACGGTCATCACCACATCAACAGCTTTTCTCTACAAGCTGGACGACCTGGTGACTTCAACTTTGTGTCCACGCGAAGCTTCTTCATAGTGTTTCCGCCCAGTTACTGTGCTTTTGAGTAGCCCCAAACATGATGACCTTTGTGGTCAACTTAACGCCGCATGCATTTGACTCCACTTGCCTGTTTCTCTCCTCTTTTCTGCTTCTAGGGGATCGACTTCATCCTGTACAACGCGCTGGTGCGGTCGTGAGGTCAGCGCGATGCCACTGGCACGTGACTCCGTTGCGGTGTTTCATCCGCCCCCTCCATGTGCTCCATGCGCTGCATGCATGCATGCAGGTGATCGACCGCATCCTGTACAAGCTGGACGAGCTGGTGCGCCCCTTCGTGCACAAGATCCTGGTGGTCATCGAGCCGCTGCTCATTGACGAGGACTACTACGCCAGGGTGGAGGGCCGAGAGATCATCTCCAACCTCAGCAAGGTGCGCTGGTGGCCTTTAGCAACGTGAGCTGTCTGTGTGTACGCGTGTCGTTACAGTAACGCCTGCACTGCATCCCTGCTGTTAGACATGAGCAAAACCGGGTAATTATCCGACCCGACCCGGTTTTGCCCTACCCGCGATCGGGTCCGGGTCGGGTCGGGTCGGGTAATTTCCGGGTAATGTTTGGAGATTTGTTACCCGACCCGGCAATTTAATACCGGGTAATTGGGTACCCGTCTGTCGGGTCGGGTATACCCGACCCGCATTTATTTAAAGTCGGGTAATATTACCCGACTATCCCTAGGTGAGTATAAAATTCAGCACGAAGGGCTACTGTATGCTATGACCTGATGAGAATGCATCTCAAACACTTGTGACTGCATTGTTGAGGTATCTGGGAATGAAACAATTCTTTTACTCGTGTTATCCAGGACATAACTGCCTTAAGTCTGGAACTTGTCTCTACTCTAGGGGTGTTTTTTGCAAAACCAAAATGTTTTACCATCATGCATGACACCCGACCAAGTAGTGTTCAAGTGTGTTTGTAGCTCGCTTCAGGAGAGCGTTTGAGGTAGGAAGCATGCGAACTAGCAAACTAGCCAATGCAACAAACGCAGCTACCATGTCAACATGAGGTCTCGGGTGAGTGTGCACTAGGCATGAGCAAAACCGGGTAATTACCCGACCCGACCCGGTTTTGCCATACCCGACCTCGGGTCGGGTAATTTCGGGTCGGGTCCGGGTCGGGTAATATGCCCAGGACCCTTACCCGGACCCGGTTTTTTTAGGCGGGTATTATAATACCCGCCTGGCGGGTCCGGGTATACCCGACCCGGACCCCCTGAAAAGCGGGTAATTTTACCCGCCACCTACTAGTGGACATCCTAAAGTTGGGCTAGGCTAGGTAGGGCTAGGCTAGGTAGGGCTCCACTCGTCCCCCTCACCTCCAAAACTGTTTTGCCACAAAACCTAAAACACAGCGCGACTTACGCCCATGTCTAGGTGGAATACCCGACCTCGGGTAATTTTTTACCCGACCGGGTCGGGTACCCGTTACCCGACACGTCGGGTAGCATTTCGGGTAGCGGGTATTGATACCCGGCCCGGGTAACCCGGACCCGACCCGGCGGGTAATTTTCAGGATTTCCGATACCCGACCCGCCCTAAAAGCGGGTCCGGGTACCGGGTACCCGACCCGGGCGGGTAGTTTGCTCAACCCTAGTGTGCACCCTCACATAGAATGCGAGTATACCAAGGAGAGTTTAAGCAATTCCGGAATGTGACCAATGCCCCTCCTCCCTCACAGCCCTTCGTCATCACCCTCAATACACACCTCCCCCGACCCTCCATCGTGATGTGCCATGGGGAGTTTGGCGTCCGCGTGCTGCGTCATCCATGACTTGATAGTCATGGTTGCGCGCACCTGAGCAGGACTTAACCGATGACGCTGCCAGCTGACAATGTTTCGGCCCTGGCTGAACGCTCGCTCACTCGGTGCCGAGGTTGCAGGGATGGCAAGGTAATCGCGAGCCATGGCCTGCAGCCCCGGCAGCGAGGTGCGCGAACGCCACCATGTGAGAGGGCACTTATCCATGGCCAACCTCTGCTCACCGAGATACCTCTCCACCTCATCCACTTGCTGCACATCCGCCTCCTCATCCATCAGGTCCATCTGCGAGCCAAGCAAGTCCGTCAAGCGCCCCCCAGCGGCCTCCCTCCTGGCACCCTCCTGTCCCAGCCCACTCTCCCCCTCCCCACTCGTCACGCCTGCACTCGTGCCCTCCTGCCCTGTGCCCACGGCTCGGCGGCGCTGCTCGTCAAGGTACGAGTGGAGACGAGAGCGCACCAACTCTTTGACATGCGCCTCGCTCACATCCGTGACTACCCTAGGTCCATCAGCAACCGCCGCCACCAGTGTCGGGTTCGACTAGGCTTGAGCATAGACCCGACCCGACCCGACCCGACCCGACTTTGCCCCACCCGAAGTCGGGTGCGGGTCGGGTCGGGTCGGGTCAAGTCGGGTTTTAGGTCTGAAAAAACCAACCCGACCCGGGTTTGAAGGGTCGGGTTTAAAGAAACCCGATGTCGGGTCGGGTCGGGTCGGGTTAAAGTAGGGCAGGAACGGGTTTTTGGACCCGTCACCTTGTTTTATGGGTTTGGGGTCACCCAGGTGGGTTTTATAGTGTTTGGTGACCGTGTCTACGTGGCTCTGTTCATTGTGCTGCCCGAACAAGTAGCATTTGGTTGTTGTGCGTTGTAAAACACATTTGCTAGCCTGCTATGTGACTACAGCAAGGCATTTCACTCAGTCATAACAGCACCCATGCTATTTGAGTGCTGTTTTTTGCTTGCTCAGATGCCTAATGAATGCTGGCAACATAACTTAGCATGCCAGTAGAGTGCGTTTAAAAACCACGCCATGACAACCCCTTGGCTCCATGCTGGGTTCGCCAAATAAGGACTCGGGTGCCAGCCTAAGAGCACGGACGTCGTGTCTAACACTGAAGTTTGCCTTTATGTTGCAAGTCTAGGGCTGCACAAATCAGACACACAGCCCAACCATTTCGGCCAGCCATGAAACCTCCATCATCCCCCTCTCCCAAATGAGGCCATCACAACCCAAAGTCCTCACCCTCGATGCAAAGCTCCTTCAATGCCTGTGCAGCTGCCGGCCCCAGGAGCTGCTCACCCTGGTGCTCTGTCATCCATGACTTGATCGTCATGGATGCACGCACCTGGGAGGCGCTCAACCGGTGGCGCTGCCACGACACTATGCCTCGCCCCTGACTAAACGCTCTCTCGCTAGCAGCGGATGTGGCCGGGATCGCCAAGTAGTCGCGAGCCATGGCCCGTAGGCCAGGCAGGTCTACCCTGTTGTGCCAGAATTTTAGGGGGCAGCCAACCTTAAGCCGGGGCTCCGCTAGGTACCTCTCCAGCTCATCGGGTGCCTTGACCCCCGCCGATGCCGCCTGCTTGTCCATCTTGGCGAACAGCTCGTCCACCAAATCATCCCCCCCTCCCCCAACCGAACTGCCGCCCTCGCCCCCGGCGCCACACTCGACATGAACCGCTTTAGGTCTGCTGGTCCCCTCCGTCCCCTCTGTCTCCCCACCGCCCTGCAGCTTAGCCAAGTACCTGTCGAGACGCTTCCGAACCAGCTTCGCCACCCTCTCCTCGTCCAGCACAGGGACCACTCTGGCCGTGCCTGCAGTGTCAGTGGCCAGCTGCTCGTTCTCTGCCTCCCACCGCGGAAGCCTAAAGTAGTGCTTGTAGCGGGGGTCAAGCATGGTGGCCACTGCCAGCTCCTTCGCCACCCCGTACTCGTACTTCTTCAGGACCTCGAGTGCCTCCCATGCCATGTCTTTAATCACAGGCGTGGTCTTATTGCTGTGGTACATCGTCTCGAGGTTGTCGATGAGCAGGTTGTACTGAGGGACTACCGCGGCGGCTGTTGGATACAGCGATCCCTCAGCCGCTGTGGTGAGGGAGTTGAACGGCTTCAGAAAAGCTGCCACCTCCACAAGGGTCTCCCAATGGTCATCCCTCAGGTGGTACTTGCTATGGGATTCTGCCTGCTTCTTGGAGGAGCTTCCGGGCTGGAGGGTTCAGCGGGGTGGACACCGGAAAGGGGGGGGGGGAAATAGGAGAGGAAGGACGGAGTGAGATGTGAGGGCATGCCTTTTTGGCATGCCATGAGCCATGTGCCATGCCATGACATGTGCCATGCCATGTGCCATGCCATGTGCCATGCCATGTGCCATGCCATGTGCCATGCCATGTGCCATGCCATGTGCCATGCCATGTGCCATGCCATGCCATGCCATGTGCCATGCCATGCCATGCCATGCCATGCCATGCCATGCGCCATGCCATGCCATGCCATGCCATGCCATGTGCCATGCCATGCCATGCCATGCGCCATGCCATGCCATGCGCCATGCCATGCCATGCGCCATGCCATGCCATGTGCCATGCCATGTGCCATGCCATGCCATGCGCCATACCATGTCATGTGCCATGCCATGCCATGCGCCATGCCATGCCATGCCATGTCATGTGCCATGCCATGCCATGCGCCATGCCATGCCATGCCATGCCATGTCATGTGCCATGCCATGTGCCATGCCATGCCATGCGCCATGCCATGTCATGTGCCATGCCATGCCATGCGCTGTGCCATGCCATGACATGCGCCATGCCATGCCATGCGCCATGTCATGCTTACCTCCGGCCACGACAAGTACACCATGAGGGCCGTCTTGAGGTCGATAGCACGCCTCAGCATGTCATAGGTGGAGCCCCAACGAGTGGGTGTGTCAGTCATGAGTCGCAGCACCCCCACGCCTGGGCCGTCCGCAACTCGAAGTTGGTCCTCTTCGAAACGCTCCGAGTGCGTGACAGACCACCCAACATGCGTTGCGAGGTCCCTCAGACGCTTCAGCGGCTCAGCGACCGCCCCCACTGCTAATGCCCGTTGAACCGCTAGGTTCAAGATGTGCGCAAGGCACCTGTGGGAATGGGGGGGACAGGCGGTGGCGGATGGGGGGGAGGAGGAGGGGAGAAGGGCCGAGCGATCACGGGTTCACTCAGGGTCATATTTGCACGACATAAGTTCGCAATTAATAGGCACGAGATAGAGTGGAAGCGCATGCAGGGAGCTCTCTTTCTAACACATTACCTGAAGTGCATGTTCTTCTGTAGGATTGCATTGGTGGTGGTGCGGGCCATCGGGTATGTCTTGTCGCCCGCCAGGATCTTGAAGGCCTTGGCATTGTTCTCGGCGTTGTCTGTCGTCACGCCGAAGACTTGGTCTAGCAGCTGCCAGTCGATGAGTACCTTCTCGAACACGTCAGCAATGAGATCTCCTGTGTGGGACCCATGCAGCTGCTCAAACTCGAACGTTGCCTGGCGCAACTTGAAGTCCGAGGTGATGTAATGGCCGGTGACCGCCATGAAGGCTTGCTTGCTGGGGCTGGTCCAGATGTCAGTCGTGAAGGAAA